TGAACCGAATCATGACCAAGGTATGTTTAGGCAGATAATGTAAATATGTCAAAAAATAGGTGCTATTGTAACTGAAATCATGTGGTTTTGCAGTCTATGCAGAGCTTTCACTGAAATGATTTCTACATGAATCTCTAGATATCATTGTTCTCAATTTGTAAGAAAACAGCCAGCATGTCAACAGGAATAAATTGGTATCTCCACTAAAGTCCAAAATATGCAACAAGCCATCATGCTTAAGGGTGCAATGTTTTCCCCATTATCAGGGAACAGCCTCATCTTCTTGTAAACTCAGTTACTCACAGCCATCTCCTGCCAGAGACCTTGCTCCCACCAGTCTGCTGGAGCTTATCCAGCTGACTACGCCTGTCGTGGGAAGAAACACTCCAGTCTCCAGCTTCAGCAGAGAAGCACTAGTCTCTTCACCAGCTCTGCTGGATCTGCAAAGGGATGTTTCCACATGCTGTCAGCACCAACCCTTTAATGCTGTTGCTTCAGCTGGGCTTTGGTGGACGCCGGTGAGGTAGACAGAGAGCAAGCCCCCCAGGAACACCAAATACCAGCACCACCCATTCCCAGTAAAGGAATGCCTGACACACACGCAGTGCCAAGGGAAAGCTCTGTGATTCTGCCTTGAGACAGCTGTCTATCACAACACCATCTCCTTCCCTTTCTCTGCTCTTCTTTCCAAATTAAATAGGAAGAGAATTATCTCACTCCCCCCTCCCCCCAAAAAAAGGTCTTGAAGTCTTGTTCAAACAGAAACATGAGTTGCCTGGGCTGGTTCAAACACTAAGTCTAATTAACAGAACAGAGCTGAAATAAACAGAGAAGTTATTTATTTTCTAAATAAGTCTAAATTTATTCATTACCCTAGTAAAAAAAAGTTTGGATTACAAGTGTCTGAACAGTATAAAAGTACAAAACAGGTTCCATAGATTTCTAATACATTAATACAAAGTGCATGACTACATACAGTTCATTTTGCATTACTACCAGGAATGGAAGAGGTGGGAGGGAGCAGGGGAAGCAGTTGGCGGTTGAAATCTAGCAATAAATAAATAAATACAGAAGAGATGATCCGTATGTATCAGAGCACATCCTACCACCAATACTGCAGCCTTAGGTGTACAGAAGTACTGATGCTGAAAACACAGATTCAGATGAAAGCAGGTGTCTGCAAAAACAGCTGGGACTCTTGCTCAAGCCCTTTAGACATGACCAACCTAGTTAAGCCATTACACAAGCAAGCATCCATTGTATCTACGGTTGGAATCAATGATCTTAAAGGTCTTTGCCAATCTAAATGATTCTATGGTTCTATTTGGTTGCAGATGAAAGGAAGGTAGGCAGCTTTGTCCTCCCTTCAGAATCTCAGAGAGTTTAGGAAAAGCAAAATAAGACCAATGAAAGCTCTAAGCTGTAAGGCTGTGATACGTCAAAGCCCTGTTCCCCCTGATGTTCTTTCTCTCCAGAGGCTGGCTTACCCAACGGAAGGAGAGGAAAAAAGAAAAGAAAAAAAAAAAAAGCAAAAAAAAAAATTTTTTTGGGTAGAGGCTTCTCTTAAACCCTGCATCTTTCCCTACCTATATTTTCATTTGCTAAACATTTCCATTTCAGGAAGTGAGATTACATGGAAATCCAGTCCTAACCCCTATCCCTCCACAGCATTATGCCAATGACTCTCACAAAAAGGAAAGCCTGTAGCAATCCATTGAAGAATATCCCAAAAGAGTAATACTAAGAAAAATCCCCCCTCCCCCCGAAAACAGGAAAAAAAAATACAGCAGAATTCCCAACCTACACAAGAAGTTAAACCTTCATAAAGAGAACACGAAGCAATGGGGAGCTAAAACTGCAGCACACTCTTCCAGGAAGCTGCTTCCACCCTACAGGCAAAGTGGAGTTTGAAGGAGTGTCACAACGGTTTGCGCATGAGTTTGTCTAGGAACCCATGTAGGAAATACTATCTTTTGATCACATATGCAAACAGAGCTGCCTCGATTCAGTACAGCACCATTCTTAAAGCGTTTCATATTCAGTATTCACAAAAGCATTGATCTGGTGGTTGTTTAAACAAACAAATGAAAAAAACAAAACTCCAAAACCAGAGAAGCACTGCAGAGGAAGGGTTCCAAAACAACAATCCAGACCTCAGGCTGCAATGAGACTATGTCCCTGCACCAGAGCCTGACTTGTTTAGTGAGGGGTTTGGTTCTACATCAGATCCAAAACCAGCAGAAAGTCCGGTCTGTGGTCATGATTCAGCTGCACTGGGCCAACAGATAGCCGTTACTCAGTTTTGGTCATTATCTAGACCTAACCTGGGCATCAAGATGTTTTCTTGGTCCATCTCTAATAATCAGTCAGTTACTACATGAAGTCCAGGGTGCCTGCTGCTGACTTAAAACAAAGTAGCCTCCCATTTCATTATGTTAAATTCTTAGGTAAATCTTCCTCCTTAGCTAAAGAGGAGACCTCTCCCACCCCTTCTGAAGAGCACTTTATGTTGGGGGCCTTCTCGGATAACTACCACTTGTAGAGGCGTCTGCAGTTTACCAGTCTGTGTCACGTAGGAGGGATGAAACATTTGTCTTTGTTACGTCAGTAGTATAGGGTGAGATCTCCACACCTTTAAAAATAGATATATATTTATATAACTAGAGAGGTGACTTATAACATTTCTATGTATTAGTTAATCTTATTGACTCATACGTGTCTAAGAATGAAATATTTTCTTGGGGATTTAAGGGGAGGTTACCAACCAACTTTAAAAAAAAAAAAAAGCCTTACAACCACTGCTTCTTTCAATACAGAAACAAAAACTACATATACTTTAATATACAAAACCCCATCCTCATATTCACTTGTGAAGCGAGTGGTGGGGGGGAGAGAGGGGAAGATTAGAAAACCCTGCAGCAGCATTCAGCTTTGCTTAAGTGTTCCATAGCATCTTAAATATTATGTACAGTCTTTCTGAGAGGATACAAACTGGCTTCAGAGTTTGTGGAATTGTAGCAGTAAAACCCAAAACAGTTCTAGGGAATAGTCTTTTGGCAGCATAGCAGGTGTCCAAAGTGAACAGTCACTTTTCTAGTATTTTTCCAGAGAATAAGAGGATCTGTATAACCTTCTGCAGCTATTCAAGGAAGTCACCACTCCTCTTGAGTGGAGATTGCTGGAGATTGTGGTCCTTCTTGTTCTGGCTTTTCAGTGGCAGACTTTTTGTTGCTACAGCAAGGTTTGAAGAGATGAGTGTCTATGAGGACTTCCCCAAAACGCCCTTTGTAAATAATTCCACAGCAGACCTTTTGCCTGAAAGGAACAGCAGGCAGAGAGACAAGATAGTTTGTGTTTAGCATATACAGAATTTATAGAAATGCAAAAAACCAGTTTGACCCAAGACACTACTTTTCTGAGCCTCCAGCTCAGAAGATAGGAGGGAAAAAGCTGCTCAAAGAGAAGTCTGTGTCGAAATCCACAACACCGGGGGGGCGTAAGAGAAAAAAATACCCAAACCAAACCCATGTCTATACAAAACTAAGTCTCCCATTTTGCTTCCCAGAGAAGTCTCAGATACACTGAGCCCACAACTGTCTGGGCTGAATTAGCCTTGACTACAATGCACTTGCAAACACTATTTGAGAGGAGGCAGCAAAGTCACAACAATCTCAATAGAGCAATTAGCTAAACGAGGGATTAGTGTGTCACAACAGGCAATAAAAGATAACAATCTCGTCAGCTCCCAGAAAATCTTGTGGTTTTCCTCCCACTCCAGACTTTTGTTTTTATTAATGACTACCATCACAGGTCAACTCAATCAAATGCTATGTTTTGCTAGCAAGCTGAGAGCACTGTTGTACTTGGTAACACACCACGTTTACGGAGCAGTTTTAAGACAAGATAATGACAGCCAAGAATATTATCTGTAACTCCCAAAAACGTAAAGATATTTTCCAGCAATTGTATTAGTATTTAGGGAACTGGAGGGAGATAGGGCAAAATGTCTTAAACACATGGCATTTCTTTCCAAAGATGCACAGATATTGTATAATACTCTGTGACTTAAATTATATTAAGTTCAGATATTAAGTTCAGCAGCAGCAAATTCCTGAAGACGCATAATCATGCGCCATGTAAGTGAAGAGGATTGCTGTCTGCACACAGTGCCCCTTCTGTTGCTTTTTACCTTTTCCAATACGTGAGATCTAAAAAGGAGAAAACTGGTGTTCTGCTGGACCCAGCGCTCATCTCTGTGTCAGAGCCTTCGTCAGACTGGTTACTGTAACAAGGCGACTGAGCTGGGGAGGCACTCGAAGTGGTGCTGTGGGCATCAGAATCTGTAGGGGAAAGAATAAATGCAAGAATCAGGACACGCATCCAATGACTTATCCTCTTCCTGACTCGTAAAAGGTCGCATGCGGATAGGGAAGAGGGACAGACTTTTTTTAATTAACAAGAAAAACCTAACAACGACAACCCATTTTTCACTTGTCCCTGCCGATTTCAATAGAGACACTGTCAGCATTTGGGAGACAGATCTCAGAACTGGAGAGGTTCCTTTTACACAAGGGACTGCAAAGAGGTTCAGGATCAGGCTTCAGTTTCTGGCTCTCAAACATAGCCTGTGCAGGTGACACTGTGGACAAGATCCTAGTCCTGCTCTGGAATCACTGGAATATCCTTGAAGACAATAGGGATCTGTGCTTCAGACATAGTACTTTCTCTCTTACTGTTTATCTCCTTTCTTACCTATTCAGTTAAAGTCTTGCAAAGCTCTTCTCATTAGTGCAATGGGTTAGTTAGGTAGTATTGAGCTTTTGCTGGATGGAGACTATGAACTACAGACTCACTGCAGACGCACACCTTAACAGAGGGTCTACTAGCCTACCTTTTAGTTACCATCTCTAGCACCTACAGTGACACAATTGCATTAGGTGTAGCACGTTGAAATAGGAGGAGATACAAGCTCTTTGGGCCAGGGCCTTTACTGATTCTTTGGAGAGCTTTTCCTTCAGGCCGGGTAGGATAATTGAAAGAGAGAGAGAAAACCAAGTCAGCAACAGTCAAGAAGCTGAAAAGTTTGCTTTAGAGAAAAAACCTAAAGTACCGACATATATTTAGAGCATAACTGGCAGATGGCTTTGTTGGAAAGCTATGAATCCAAATCATTTGAAGAATCTAAATGCTAGTGGAAAGAATTCATTAAGCAGAGAAAGGTGCAAGGAAACTATACAAAGGAAATACAGCAGAATTTAAAGGGGGTAAAAAAAAAAAAAATAAAAAATCAAGGCTAAGTAGAAAGCCTGGGTTGAAAACACATATGGAAGAAGACGACTGATAGCAGTATCAACAGAGCTTCTTGGGAAAAGAGAGCTGAAAAAGGCCAAAGCACATAACTGAGAGCAGGGGAAACCTCTTCCAACTTCAGTTTCAATGAGGATCTTGCTCACCAAGTTCTTTCTAGAGACACGTCATTTAAGTGTGGCACATAAGCTACAACTGCCTACGCTTTCAAGTCAGGCTCCCCACTCCCCCTCATTGCTTCTTCACCTGTCTCACAGCCCACTGTGCACACAAGCTCTTCCTCCTCATTCAACCCTCTCTCCAAGTCCTCAGAGGATGGGAGCACCCAAATGTGTGCAGGTACAATTCAATCTAGATGATGATTCAGCTTCACCAGTTAACGCTAAGCTATGTTAGGGAAGGCCAAAGTTTATTGCCAAAATCTCTTTGGATCCACTTACTGTGCCGCTTGAATTCCTTTTGCAGTTTGCTGATTTGATTGCTCTTTATTCTGCTTCCAGACAGAGTTTTCATTTTCTTTGGTTTCAATGTTGTTTTAAGACTGGGTCCAGCCCTGGCATCTACCACCTAGAACACAGAAAATGCACGTGTAATACTTCTGCATCATGCCCAGATACTGCCCTAGTCAAGGTACCTGTACGGACTTAGGTGAAGGTGTTCAAAGCCAATTTAGTTAAACCAAGGCAGTTCTGTGCACCGATACTTTCATGTTTCATTTAAATCTGGTCTGTAAGAGGCTGAGTCTGTAGGAAAATGCAGTAAACTATTTAAAAACCACATTCAGTTCAACCATTGCCTTCTTCCTATTTTTGCCAAATTCAGTGTAGTAGACAACAGTTGTTTAAACCAATACAGGCTCAGTTAAGAGTGTCTGCCAAGCATTTGCCCTGGAGTATTTTTAAAAAATCATCAATTTAACTTCTGAATAAAACTAGTGGTAGTAATAACCATAGTTCTGGCTCCCATTACCATCAAGGCTTCCTGAATAAAGATTATAACATACACAAAGAATCCTGATCATCTTCCCAGCCTTAGGCCCAAACTGAATTAGATGTATCGAAACAGAATATATGAGTGGGAATAGCTGCGAGATATTAGTCATTGTAATTATCTGACTAAATGACATTGATTTATGTGTTGCTTGAGAAAGTCACCTTGCTTGTTCAAACTACTAAAAAAAAAAGCAACCAATTTTGGATAAAGGCCAAACTCGAAATGTTTTGAGTGTTATAAGAGACTTTTGGACAAACTTATGAGCTTGTGAAAACAAGGAATTACAAGGTAAGTTAGTCTGTGATTCCATCCTGGGCTTGCATAATCACCATTTGCACGCAAGTCAAAGGACGACAGATTAGAGCCATGTACCAGGAAATACTCCAGGAAGGATTTAGAGATGCTGAGGGTGAGAAAGGAGAGTATGGGGGAAACACCAAACCCAGCCATGTACCAGGAAATACTCCAGGAAGGATTTAGAAATGCAGATCCTTGCCAGCACCTCCCCTCTCCAGCAGGATGGACTAAGGCAGAGCTGAGTTAGTTTTGGAGTGGAGAAAAATAAATGACTCACGTGATTCCAGTTCTTTTTGGATCCTGCTGGCAATTTTTTCCATCTTTTCACCAAAAGGACACAGGCATTGCAAATATCTCCTGAGCGGGCCTCATGTAGCCTGGTAAAAACAAAAGCAAAAATCACTTGACAACAGTTAATAAAAGCAACTCCCCACTTGATAATGGCAAGAAGCATGAAAATTGATGGAAAAGAAGGGTTCTCAAGTTCTGTTTTTCAGGCATTACAATTCATCTGGGGTGCTCAAACATTACCATTTAAAGACCAGGTCTCACTTTCAGAAAGTACTCTTCCATACAGAAATAAAAAGTGGTGTAATCTGCCTCCAGAGGGGCACTCAAAACAACAGTCCCATCATCTTCAGTTGTTTTTGTTTCTTCAAGAAAAAAACCACTGCACAGTTCCAGTGGGTTGGCTGGTTTGACTGGAGAGGAAGGGAGGAGGAATAACCGTATTGTATTCCTTGAACGCATGTTTGGGAACAACAGACCTCAGAGATCCAACAAAAGCTTATTCGGCTCTTAACTTTCTCACAGAGCTTCAAGGATGAGTAACAAATACCATCTAACACACTCCTGTATAAGCACAGGATAAGGTTTCAGAAACAGCATTCACTGGAATGACAGCAATACTCGCTCCCTTTAACAAGCTTTCTTCAGAAATCATCTCTACTGCTAATCCACGCTAAAAGAAACACAAAGGGAATACACACTGCAGAATTTTTCAGCTATTTAAATAGGAAGACTTTGAAGCATTTATAGATGAACGGGGCAGGCTCAGATAAGCCATTATATGCTCAGGGTTAAGACTGCATTTTTACCTTGGCAAACATATTTCAGATAGCACGGGACCAAAGGCCCTGGTATACTGCAAGCCTCTTTACTGTAGTTAACAAAAAAAACCCCACAAACCAAAAATGCAATGGGCCTTCACACAGTCTTTCCACTGTCAAGGACGGTAGCCAAGAAATATGACAACAAAAATCATCAGCACGAGATTGAGATACAAAATTCCATGGTAAATACAAAGCACTATCCTTCTCCTTTCAATACTTGAAAGAAGTGTTTCTAGAAAAAGGGGAGAAGATAGAAACATTTTTAAGGATTGCAAAGGTTTACACATATGAAGTTAAGTACTTGAGATGAGAGCAGCAATATTGGTATGTATATATAGTTTTTCGTAAGATTCATGAAATTTCCACTTGGGCCTAAGGTTTTGACAAGAGGTAATCCAACAAGACTGGAAAGAGAATACAGAAAATATCTAGTGACAACAGACTTTTTTCCAGGGGAAATAATTTCATAGAAAACTAGAGCATAATCAGGAGAAATTCTTATTGTCTCAGAAAAAAACCCTCAAAATAAACAAAGTGAAAAATAATTACAAGCTATCACAGAAGAATTTGCTTTGCTGAAAATTCAGGGACACAAATTTAAACATAACTTCAAAGTTCTTAGGAAGTATTTAAAAAAAGTTAAAAAGTTCACAGTAGCTGGTACAAGAAACCACAGATATTTATAGTTTCACTTACCATTGCTTTCAAGTAACATTACATGCAACATTACCTAATTGTAAAGCTAATTACTTGATGCTCACTTTCCATCAGAATGGGTTTCCAACAAGAAGTTTTACTAACATCTTGATACGCCCTATTTGAACAAAGGCACCAATACCTGAAACAAGGTACTGTGCATCGACCCGGCCGGAAGTGCTAAATATTTACCCATCAAGTTTCGTTTAACATTCTTGAATCTTCAGAGCCACAAAAGAGCTCCATGGACCTGTGCCGTTTATCATCATGTGTGGGAATTTACGCCTCTACAGAACACGTGCAAAACACACAGTGTGAGAGGAGTCTAAATCCCTGCACATGCAGCGAGGTGGGAGAGGTGCGAGCCTGAACTTCACCGTTACAAACTACAGCAGCTCTCCACTGGCAGCAACAGCAGACTGACAACCAAATGGTACTGTACACAGCAGCAGAGGATCCAGTCCCTCCTGGCCTGGTCAAGAAAGTTGCGAGGAAGCTGAAGCCAGCCTTCCCTCACCACCCACCTCTGCTAACCTAATCTTTCAGTCCCTCAGAGCAATTGGGACAGCACGTCAGGTCCACGGCCCTGAGATCAACACCATCACTGCCCACGATGTTGACTAAATAAAAGAATCTTACCCAAAACAATTTTGGAAATCCTTTTCATAACGTTTGCTGTCAGTGAAACGAGAACTGGAAGACTTAGCTCTGCAAATACAGCAGCCCTCTATACTCCGATACATCTTCGGTTTGTGAAAGCCAAACATCTTTTCCTCCCAGCTGTAGCCTGTGAAAACAAACAGGAACTGGTGTTACTTGTCACTGTTAGATACTGAAAGAAAAACCTGGGCAATTCACTGGGCAAACCAAAAGTAAATTATAATTCCAGATGGGAAACTGCTAGATTAGGCCATACCTCTATCCCACACTGCCCCAGAAGAGCAGATGCACTTAGAATACACTTCCTTATTAAAAAAAAAAAAAATTAACAACAGTTGCAATTTGAAGCAATACCCAGCAGGACTCATGACAAGCTCATTTACTGCACAGTGCTACTCTAAGGGCACATCTGCAACAGCACAACCCAGAGGCGTGAATGCAGCTGACCTGGCTAATGAAAGCCCTATGCATATGGCAAAACAGGCTGCAGGACAGGCTGTGTGGACCTGCCCCAGCCCTGGGAAAGCAGCTGGCAGCCGAACCCTGGGTCACTGGAACTACCTCGTCATCATCACCCATTGGTTGGCAACATCCCTGCCAAACTTTGTTGAAAGTGAGTAGGAGTCGTTTCAGCAGTCATACCTCCAGGCTGTAGGGCAGACATACCTGAAAAGCCGCTCTAAAACCAGTGGGGTGGGGTCCCACCCAGCCCGCAATGGCCACGTCTGCGCCGCGGGACCCAGGAGCGCTCCTCGACTCCCAGCCCGGGTGAGCATCCCAGCCCCGTGTCAGCACAAGCTCAGTCCTCGCCCTCCCACCTTTCCGTGGGAAGGAAACCCAGCCAGAAAGGGGCTGGGGAGCAGGACCCTGCGGCGTGTTTCAGCTACCGCACGTCCCAGCCTTCGCCAGCGACGCTGGAGCAAGAGATACTCCGTTTCACAGGGAAGCTGTTTCTTCTTCACCACCAGCTCTGCAAACTCGGCACCAGCTCACAAAGCCAAACGCCCTGCTGCTCTTAGAGGCCTGCCGATCCTTTTCAGTACCCCTGGGCTGGGATTCACTGTCGGAGCAGGTAATGTCCAGTGGAGGTGTATTCCAGGCAGAAACTTTTAAAGTTACGTACAAGTGGATTTACTGTAGTTGCCAAGACAAAGACCTCTTCAACACACAACGTCCCCACCACCGAAAGAGTTCTCCCAGGCCCCAGTTACTCCTCGGTGCAGACTCCTGTTAGGCACAGTCTGACACGGCCTGTCGGAAGCTGTCCGAGCAAACGGAGTTCCCACAGCACTTCAAAAAAACAAACCAACAGAGCAAAGCCGATGCTTTCCAGGACATGCAGCCAAGTCCTCACAGGCCACACAGCATCTGTCTCATAACACATGTGGAGGCCCTTCCAAGATGCTCATTCTTTCAACAGACCACGGTGCAAGGTTTCCCTCAACTGCCCACTGGGAACCAGGGGAACGGGCAGCCACCTCTGCTGCTCACCGCACACCAACTGCTCAGAGAGAGGACAGGCCGCCGGCTGCAGGAAGCTCCATGAGAACAGGTTCCCACTGATGAGAATTTCCGCTTTTAAAAAAATAAAATTGGACAGAGCCACGCAAATAACAAAATATTTCCCCCTCTTCCCTTAACAAAAGGCCAAGTCATTGTATCCTTGTAGAAGTTGACAGAAAACTCCCTCTCCTCCACACAAACACTACTGAAAGACCCAGTAGCTCAGGCAGGACTTTCAGGAGAGCAGCATCTCCATCACTTGCGGGCAAGTCTGGTGAGAGGGAACTCCCAGTCACTTCTCAGTCCCAGGGACTGCCAAGTTCCAGCAACCTAACTTGTGTTTGGTGAATGTATGGGCATAGGGGTCTGTCTCCAAATCTTCCACCTGCAGGAAGGGAAAGGACGTAATTCTAATAGCCTCCAGAGGGACAGAGAAAATTAACCTGAAATCTGTCTGCAGTGCCAAGATCTGCCATGTCATAACAGCAATAAAATAATTTGAAAAGTAGGTTCAGGTGAGGTCAAAACCACACTTCTACTAAATGACCATACCTAGCATCATGCTTACCTTACTGATGGACAGAGATTGCGTGTGGGGGGAGAAAGATCCTGTGCATTTTTGCAGAACCACAGCAAAAGTTAGTGAACTACCCAGGCCTAGTCACAGTCCTCTACACAGAGGTAAAAAACACATCCCCACACCCCAGAGGGAAAGATCAAAGCATGGCAGCACTGCAAAATAAACGCACAAGGTTCTGCACAAGGTTTCCAGGCTCCTGAGAACAGAAAATTTTAGCTACTATTGTTGGCTAATACTCTTACACAAAGTCCATTAAGGAACTCATATCGACCACCTGGTGCCCACTGAGGTAGTGTCTCCTTGCAATTACTAATGCACAAACATGTGGAAAGACACAAGTCAACTCTCCAAAAACCTTGTCTTGGACAAACTCCTTGCAGATCCTGTTGACAGTAAGGGACTCACGCAAGCTGAACGCTAAAGAGATCCTCCAGGCTTAGGGGAGAAACGGAGGGGGCACAGGTCTTTCCTTCCCTCCTGTCCCAAATCACACCGTTTGCCACAGGCTTGAAGTGCTGTATTCATTTCTTCTTCATGCACATTTGCAGCACAAGGAGCTCGCCTAGGACTAGGTTCTCCCAAGGATGACTTGTGCGAATATCCAGCAAAGTCACCCCAAACGCTGCTGCAAGGCTTCGTAGGAGATTCACTGCTCTCTATTAGCACAGCATTGGCCTGAAGGCCAGGAGCAGCTGTATTAAGAAAAAGAAGGTATCCAACTAGATCTGCTGAATGGGCTTGTTCAGGGATGGTTAGACTCGTAAGTACTCTCTGCTTGGATATGTTTTCAGGGACATGTAGCAAATGAATGCACAGCCAAATCGGGTTAGTATCCCTGGACTATCAAGACAAATAAACAGAACGTCTAGGCAAACAGCATGCATTTTGTTACTTAGCATCCAACGTGCTTCTTCAAGAGACAGTCTCTTGAGGACCCTGTGTTTAACAAGCCTCTGGAGATCCACCAGCATGTTCGCCCAGGAATTTTCAACTACCAAAGAGCAATTTTACATTTTGTTTGACTACCCCAATGTTAAGTCCGTGGTCTGGTGCTTTTGTTTAGAAAGTCCAAGACTAACTGCAGACACAAGGTTCATAAGTGCTGCAAAACTTGAGCAGCAAGAACATCTTGACTGTTACAAGGCAAGACACGGAACTGGTACCAACAATGTGATTTACTTTCTAATCCAGTTTCTTCCAGAAATCCAGACACTGATGAGATGATCTCTGTCATCAACTGGTATTTATACCACAGTAGAATAAGACGCATGTTTTACAATTAATGTTCTGGCAAAGGTTGGCATCAGACACATATATTCTGAAAATATCTTGTTTTGCATCGTGGCTGCCGTTCTCACAGGAGCAGCCTTTCAACAACATCTTTCAATAGAAGGGAAACTAGTGCCATCTGTTTCCCACTTGATGAATGGTCAGCAACGGTATTACCATATATCATGCCTGAATGGGGAAGAGCTAGTAGCAAAACCCCACGTAAAGAGATTTCTCTGACAACTGCATCAAAGTACAGTTATAAATGGAAGGCATTGGTCCAGTTACACATTTAATCCTAAACAGTTGCCATTTGACCATTATACACTAAATATTCTGTCAGCTGGAGAGCTTACTAGCTAACGTAGATGCATTTGAGTCTAGAAGTACTTATCAACACTGCTAAACTTAAAGCTCTCCGTCTCAGCTTCCATTCTAAGCCATAATTGTGTGTCTAGTGCTGGAGTTGACACTACATTTCTATAGACTTAAGTGTACTTAGAAGTCCATATGACTGTGCCCTTTAAAAGGTTTAACTTGAAAGCTTTGAAATTTAGATCTCAAATTAGAACCAGGGAGGTAGACTGCCAGCTACTGCAATACCTGCATCTTATCTGTGGAAATTTAATCACGTGAAATTTGGAACAGAGAAAAAGATGGCGAGCAGGCATGAAGTAACTGCTATAGAAGTTAAAAACCATTACACAAGATAACTTTGCCAAATTTAAGCATGTTATTAATGTTATTTAAGCATGTTATTTGCCCGATTTAAGCACGTTATTAAAATATATGATGTCTTTTAAATCACCAGTTGCACAGAAGTGAGAGAGAGAGCTCACCAGCAAAGAATCAGAAATCCTAGTGGGGCATATTTGTCATTCTGCAGAAATGGAGATTTACCTGCACTAGTAGGGAAGCAGTATTCCCCCAAGTTGGGGGAAAAGCGGCCGTCCTCCTCCCTGGTCTCCCTGCAAAAGCACAAGTTGCTATTTGCCCAAGTTCTGCTTTAAACAACTGCTTTAGCAACTTGAACAGACTCAGAAAAGACTGCAAGAAAAAGCTCTCTCCATCCCTCTCACTTTTAGAAAAGCAGCATCAAAAACAGAGACTTGTCTTGCAAAAAGAAAAAAAAATTGGAGTCAAGCAGAGAACAGTAAAGCAGATGGGGAATTAAAAAAAAACCAAAAAACACATACACACAAAAAAACCCCAACACCCACCACCACACCCTGCTTATTACATTTGTGAAAGGCTGGTACAAAGCAGCATGCATCATCGTGTATGAAAACGGTTTTGTGCTTTCTCTACCTGTCAGGACTAGAATTTGGTGCTTAGTTTTCTTTGCAAAATTTAATTTGATGATCTAAATTAAAAAGAGGTATTGCTTCAGATGCTCATTAAGTTTTCAAGTTAGGGAAGAACTTATGAACTCTTTTAGATTTTAAAATAAGAGAAGCTGAACCACTTTCATTTGCCTTTCCAGATTCCTTTTGCATTCTTTCTGATCACCCAAGAAGAATGAAAACCCTTTATAATAGGAAGGAAGGAATTCCTAGAAGGCAGGCATGTCTCCCTTTGTAACACAATTATCAGGCCAGTCGGAAGGAACATGCTCACCTGCTCCTTGCAAAGCTGAAAGAGAAACATTCCCTGGGGCTATGGGAGAGCAGAGGGATGCCAGTTCAACTACTCAATACCTTCCTTTCTTCCCAACTCCTCACTCTAGCCCTGGATCATTCACCCTTTGTGCAACTCAAAACTTCCAGTACATTGT